TCTCGGTCAAAATCCCCCAAGCTTTCTGATTTAATTCTTAAAGTTTGCAATTTATCCTTCAGGAAGTACAGTTACACTGTAACGTCGTCGATGTGTACCAATCACGTCCCTTCTATCGACCCTAACCTTCTACATTTTCCGTCTCGTTCCCTGAGCAGCATTTAGACTGCATTTGTCAAGCGGAATTGTTCTATCCAACCATGATTAAGAATCCATCGTGTGATTATTTTCATATCACTAGGATTGTTGTTCATTGCTTCAAAGGAGCGATTTCGGGCTTGTCTCCAGATTTCTCCTCTGCCAATTGACCACTTAGGGCAGTACATGATCATGTGCTTGGGATTTAGTGATTGGTGGCCACACGGAAAACTTCGGTGATAAATACCTGGTACTTTTCTTCTATGTACAGTCAGACCTGTGTTAAGACGATGTAATCGGGCCGTGAAAAATATCGTCATATAGATGATATCGCTGAAAAGGATATGATTATCTAATCCAGATATCTAGGCTACTATGTACTTTTGATGCCTCTTTTATACTCCCAATTGCCGTCTCTAATCGCTCTAATACTCTCAAATAGCTCGAATTAACAGAATTTTGACTCTCAATGTACTCAATCAACACTTTCAGAGCCATTTAGGCCTCTTTTGCTATCCACAAAGGCTGTTCGTCTTGTACTACCTGTTCTTCTTCATCTTGATTTGCTCCCAAGTGTTTCCTTATCACCTCTTGTAAGATCATTGCCTCGTCAAGCATCATATTCCCTTCCTCTTCTTCTTCAATTGGATTAAGGAAATTGTCTATTGCCATTGAAACTCGTAGGTCTCCTGCTCTGACTACCTCATTAAACAATTCAGAAAGTCCAGTCAGAAGTACAGACGTAGGAAGAGCAATTGGCTTGGAAATTAGAGTCGATTTCCAAGAGCAATTACGAATCGTTATATTTGTAATTTCGTTATTCCAACTTCGTAAGATTCAGCGAATTGTTAGTCAAATATTGAAACTTGATTGTGGAACTGTACCCTCTTCAACTGCTTGTATAACAAAGCGGAGCCAGCACCGTCTGTAGAATACTTTGTAGTTCTGAATACCTTGATCAAGAGGTTGGTACCGGCCTGTACTATTAGCTGGAAGCCAACAGATTTTGATATTTGACGGAGGAGGGTGTAATTCAACGGCAGAATAATGAGCAGAAAAATTATCCACTGTCAATAATATATCTCGGGTGTTTCCAATGTGGCGATAGAATTTTTCAAGCCATTCGCCCATAATTGCTGTATTTATCCATGCTTTGGAATTCCGCCTCCACTTGCCATCCATTGTCTGAATACTAACGTTTTTCAAGGCCCGAGGCGTCTTATATTTGCCAATAATCCAAATGGGAAGTCAGTCAGAACCTGTAGCATTCGTACAGAAACAGAAAGAAACTCGGTCCTTGTTTTTCTTGAGCCCGGGTCAAGATTGTGACAATAGCCCACGTGAAGGTAGCATTTTCCAAAAGAGACCTGACTCGTCTATATTATATATGTTTTCTTCCTCAATCTCTCCTGCAATTGACTGTAAAGCTTTCATTTCGGCTTCTGTAGTCACTGGAATTGAACCAACTTCACCGTATCGTACCCGATTCTGAATATGGTTTCGATTCTTGAAATCCTCAAGCCAGCGAGTGCTGAATTCATGGCACAGTTGGCCAGCGTGCTGTGGTAATTGTATCCAGATCTGCTTTGCCTTCTCACGGAGCAAATCGCCAGTTGTGATCTCTCCTCCTTGTTCAACTCGTATTTGCCACGCCAGGAGAATACTCTCAAGGTCAGGCCAGTTTCCAGCTCGCTGTTGTAGCCCAGTAGTACTTGTAGCTTCGTCGAGTTTTGCAAAGTTATTGCTCAAAGACTCGGAGACTGTAGACTGGCTTAATCGATGGCCGTACTCAGCGAAGAACCAGTCAATGCACTATTTTTGTTTGAGTTTGAGGACCTGGTGATGCGCCCATCCTCGCAGAGCACGAAGTTGGTCTACAGAAATTCCCTTTTTGGCGGCATCATTTGCACCAATCTAACAAAAAAAACCTGGTTAAGACGATATTCGGAGGTTGAAAAACGATAATCGTGTAATCTATTACAATATGATTCTTTTAGACGGGTGATACAATAGTACTGGAAGTAGTACTGATGAAGTGTAGGGTTAACAGAACGTGTATATCTCATGGCACGCGCAGCACCAATTCATGCTGCGACTATGCTCCTACTAATGTGTGTCTACCAGCCTAGTCTACACGCTAATAAGGGACTAATAATACAGGGTATATAAAATCTCTAAACACCTTATCCTTGTACTTATTGTGTTATGAGGAGGGGAATTGCATACAAACAGTGGCTTTATCAATATGTGCTTGACACTATTATGAAGTGGACGATGATATGTGTTCGCTTTATTAGATCTGTTTCCTGATGATTGCTATCTGTATGAAGGAGAATACTCCTGTTTATACCTAAAGCTCATCTATCTAATTGCTAGTAGAATATTCCATCTTGTAATGTAAGATATTCTATCATATGCTAAAGGATAGTTTACATTCTTGTTCAAACCATCCACATGCAACTGTTATGATATCACTACACCAACCACATCTTGCATAGATCTCTATATCATCAAATACAGCTTGCCTAATTGGCTGAGTGATTTCACATCATAACAGTACTCCTAATTTAACATTTACCACAACCCTAACTCCATTATGTTGAGGGTATAAGAATGATAATGTTTGACCAAGACTTTTGTAATTTAACATAATCAGTAAATTTATGGGAACGAAGTCCGTTCCGCAAAATATATCGTATAAACGGCAATATTGGCTTAACCATGATCGTCTTAACAGTGGTCTGACTGTATTCGGCAAATTAGCCAGGAGAACTTCAATTGCCTGTAAGTCAACTGCACTCCCCAGCGCCCTAGACGGCACTAAAGAAGTCGGGCTAAGCTACTATACAGCAATTACGCCTTGTCAAGACTTTTCTGAGATTTCAGCACGACCTTTAGGAAAGAATTTAAAGGAGGCCAGAATGGCAGAGGGTGAATTTACCAAGGTGCCCACAAGTCTGCAGCGCCCAGCTAGCCGGCCTCTTCGAACGCTTCAGAAGGGGCAATATGTCTTCGGATTTATTCCTGATATCGGTAATAGAAGAGCCCCGTACCCAGTAGTTTTTGCGATTTTTCCCGGCTGTCATACACCCGCAAATGGCCATGGTCCCGTTGGCTGGAGAGGGGAGATGATGAAGTGCTAAGGGCTTCTCTAAGTGCATGATCGAATGAGAACTTGTGAGGGGTGGAACTGTTTGAGGGGAGCTGTATTGGAGGTATAAGAGGGGATATACTACTGGCAAAGGTATCCTTGATCTCGAGGCAGAGGAGACCTGCAAGTCCTGCCTAGTCAAAGACTTAGAAAGGACAATAAGATGAATTATAGATAGGAACTGCCGATGTGAAACTTAGTACATAATTTGTAGTCACGTGTGTTTCAATGAAGTGGTATACCCAAAGCCCCCACCTTTTCAATCTCTCTGAGGGTTGGATGATGCAGTAGTACACCATTCAGGCCATTCTCTTAAGTAGATACTGGGTAGCTTGGACAACTACCCAATTTGAGACCTGAGAAGATGGTTCAAATCCACTAAAACCCACACAACACTCTCTCCCGCGAAGATATTGTTTTTGTGGGATGCTGAAAGCACACTCGGATAACCGTAGGGTTTTCACGCTTTTCCCTGTGGTTGGTATACATGGAAGATGTTATACGCCGTAAGAGTTAACCTCTAGTGGTATCCGCAATTGAAATATGAGTGAATGTTCTAAACGGCAAAAGGAGTCATCCCACTTTAAGTACATATCTTCCGATAAAAATCTGCGTGGGCATCAAGGCACAAAACCAGAATAATTGAAAATTTTTATTATAACTTTTAACAACATTAGGACTTATCCGAACATATAGTGACCCTTCTGAAGTATTTGGATCCAGTAGGATAGGCGCTGCAGACTTGAGTGTACCAATGAATGTCGCTCTCTATCTTTCTTGCCCCCTAGCAAGTCTCTCATGAAGGTCGTGTTAAAATGTCAGATAATGCTTGATATAGAGAATGTTTGATTCAAAGCAGCTTGTCCCATCTATTTTGTGCCATCTGGAGAACTAGAGGGTATCGTACATCCATCAACAATAGCAGACTTCATGTATAATTCGTCCAAAACGTAATCTTCGTTCGCATAAACATCTCAGAGTGGAAAAAACCTCAAGTATGACAGTCCTGGTATGTCTATGAGAGGCTCACTGGCCTTTTATTTGACAACACTTTTCTGATCAGACTTATTGTGCCTTTTGGAACGACCTTGCGGCTATGACTCAGCTTTTAAATGCGTCAATATTGGGGAATATTTTGAAGGGACTTCACACTTTTTGTTCACAATTATGGGTCCACAAATGAATTTATATTTTATCTAAGTATAAGTATCCTATCGTCGCGTACGCAAGGTTCTTTGTTCAAATCGAGCATGTTTTCGCGTGACACTAGCGCGCTTTTGTACATAGCCGGAGCCGGATAGTTCCGGATCCACCTACAAGGCTACAGCCTGTGACAAATATCTACTATTTGAGGAAGAGCCCCGAAGTATATTTAGAATCGACTTTGGAGCAATGTGACGCTGAGCTTTTCAGTCTCCAAGATGAAAAATAAATGTGTTAAGACAATTGCCCTGTTTCCGTGAACAGGTAATTTTTACGCCTTCGTACTGGAAATCACAGTAATACCCCAAGAAATAGACCTTGCAATGCACGTGATACGAAGCACAATTAATTATCCATCAAACCAGTGGAGGACACGGGATGCAATGCGTTGCTCTACTTTCGGAGCAATAAAAGATTCCATTTAACTTCAATAGCCATTAAAAATAGCTTTAAAAAGTTGATTGATACTTATCCTTAATGAACTTTCTATATCTCTGTATTTATCAAAATGATCATCCTCGGTAGAAATGCACCCAAAACATTGAGATCACTCTGGGTGGGCACGCCTCTCATGGTAAACCTAAGCTAATGTCTGGAAGTTGACGCCTTCGAACTCTTGTTCACATCGGTTTTACTCGACTGAACTCAGTCTAAAGGCAACATTTGAGAAGTGCATCCCAGCAAAGCTTGAGCTATTAAGAAAGCTCAAAGATGTAAGTCACAAGACTGTTGGAGATTTAAAGGTCGCAAATGTTATTGGAGGCATGAGGTATGAATCAACAATTTAAACTTTATCATCATCTAACTTTTTTTCAAGAGGACTACAGGCTATAGTGTGGGAGGGATCCGTTCTCGACGCTCATGACGGAATTAGATTTCACGGGCGCACGATCAAAGAGTGTCAGTCACAGCTCCCTAAAGGCACAACCGGTAATGAGATGCTTCCAGAGGCTATGTTTTGGCTACTTTTGACCGGTCAAGTTCCGTCTGTAAGCCAGGCTCGACAATTCTCTCGCGAGCTTGCAGAAAAGGCTGAATTACCATCGTTCGTCAATCAAATGTTAGACAGCTTCCCGAAGGATCTTCACCCTATGACCCAGTTCGCCATGACAGTTTCAGCACTATCCCACACGTCTGAATTCGCAAAGGCATACGAAAAAGGAATAAGCAAAGCAGATTATTGGGAACCAACATTCAACGACTGTATATCTCTTCTCGCAAAGCTTCCTACCATCGCAGCTAAGATATATCATAACTCGTATCGAAGAGGCCGTGAATTTCCAGGAAATATTGACCTGGACAATGACTGGTCTTACAACTTTGCCTCTATGCTTGACAAAGGGGGGAAACATAATCAAGACTTTCAAGATTTGTTGAGGCTCTACATGGCTCTCCATGGTGATCATGAAGGTGGTAACGTTTCATCTCATACAACTCATCTAGTCGGAAGTGCATTAAGTGATCCATTCCTATCCTATAGTGCGGGTTTACAAGGCCTTGCCGGACCCCTTCACGGGTAAGCAAATCTCAACCCTCTTTGTTTAGCTTACTAATAAATAAGACTTGCTGCCCAAGAAGTTCTTCGTTGGGTTTTACAAATGCAAGACCATGTTGGAGCTGATTTTCGAGACGAAGAAGTCTCTGACTACCTCTGGTCAACGCTGAAATCTGGTCGGGTAATTCCTGGTTATGGTCACGCTGTTCTTCGCAGGCCTGATCCTCGATTTGAAGCTCTCATACATTTCGCCTCTTCACGTCCTTCTATAGCCAACAATCCGCTATTCCAGTTGGTAAAAAAGACCTCTGAGATTGCACCCGAAGTCCTGAAAAAGCACGGCCGAACTCGTAATCCTTATCCCAATGTCGACTCGTCAAGTGGCGTGTTATTCCACCACTACGGGTTTAAAGAGACTTTGTACTACACAGTTACATTCGGTGTTAGTCGGGGATTAGGGCCTTTGGCACAGCTTATCTGGGACCGGGCTCTCGGAATGCCGATTGAGAGGCCAAAGAGTATTACTTTGGAGGATTTATTAAAACTTGCTGAAAATTTGTGAATACGCTCCAAATTTTCAATTCCCGTTATTTCTCTGGCTAGATATTATCGAATCATGCACATGATGCAGTCGCATGTATTAATGCGACACTAAGTAATTACAGGAATCATCTGAGAAAAACGTAGTACCAAGCAATGAAATAATTCAGGCCGTTAAAGTTAGAATAATTGGGGCTATCAAGTAGGCTAAGCTGTTGACACACATTTTGTCGTGGTTATGAGCTATGCGGAAGTCATACTGCAGAGTGGTGAGGAGTGGATAATGTTATATTACACAGGTGGCTGTGAAAGGACAGGAAAAAGCTATACTGTAGAAATATGGACAAAAATTTTAAGGCTAAACTTATGTTGTAATTTATGCGACAGTGGAGTTATGAGTATACTGCATACCAGCTGTATATTCAGCTGCGTGTAGATACTTGCTCTTGAAATCAGATTCCTTAAAAAAAAAATATATATATATATATATATATATATATGATTTATTATGTGTATTTGATTTGATTTCATTTGGCCCGTTCAGGTACCCTATGGACCCATGCAGGTATAACTAGCTATAATATTTACACAGGAGGTGTAGAACTTAGAGAGGTCTTCGTGTGAATTTTACGTGAATCGTCAAAAGATGAAAGCGAGTACAAGAATGAATTGATTAATTTTCTCCGTGCTATGAGTCCATCGTAGGAGGGCAAGACTGAACACCTGTACGCGGTGTCCTCTACCAACCTGGGAGTGAAATATTCTCCCAGAGCCAAGTTCAGTCAAACTTCGCAATACCGAACAAGTTGGCCCACGAGGCAATGATTCAAATTACTCCACCATATCAATCTTTCACTCCCAACGAAATCGATTCCTACCTAAACCTCATCAAGTTTACAAGTACGACCTAGTACATCCTAATCCCAATGACCACACCTCTTGTCGACTTTCTCTGGCCTTAGCTGGTCGCCAGATACACGCCCACGCCGATATTTACACCCGACGGAGGAAGCAAAGCGTGGCGCACAAATCTGGAAGATAATTCCTTGGGATGGATGTGAGAGGGATCAGGACAAGTTAATAAGATGATGCAGAGGATTGGATACAGTCTCGACGGGCGTGGAATTTTGAAATCTGGAAAGGAGTTTTTACAAATTGAGCTTTGTGCGTGCCAAGTCTTCGGCTGCGAGAGTGCAGGCGACACTATAAACACTGCCATGGTTGGATGGTGCGGTGGTACATCATCTTGGCCGGTCTGCCAAGTAGAGTCTGGATAGCTTGGACACATATCCCACTTGAGACAGTAGATCGCTGGTTCGAATCCGGCAAAACACAACCACATTTCTCGCGGCGCTGGTATGCATGGATGACGAAGGCATGCTTGGATAATCAAAGGTTTTTAAATTCCCTTTGGTGGGTACTAACGGAGGAGGGTCGACTGTTTGTGTAAGCAAACATATCTCATAGTGGTATTTGCAAATGAAATCCAGAGTATGAGTGTCTCTAACGTCAAAAGAGTCATCCCACATGTATACATAGCGCCGGTCATGTGTCATAGCTAGATAGCTGAATACACATTAAATGATTTAAAAAAAAAAAAGAGTCCATCGTAGCACTACAATATCTACTTCTACCCTATTGATGCCCCTGATCATCATTACTAGTCTGACATGCCTGCACGCAGATCGTGCTTTCGCTTCTGGACTGGATCCAGACTTATGCAAGCACAAGTCTGCTTACAGGAGGAAATCAAATTCGGTAAAAACCCCCCATAACTATCTGTCTCGTGTCTATTTTTTTCTGAGGTTTCCTACAGGAAATGCATTTACACTGTTTATACAGTGTGAAATCCGTCTCGTCCTTTCGTCTAATGCTATTTCTACTTCTCCTGCAAGCCGGAATTGTTCAAACCAGCCTTTTGCCAGGATCCATTTTGTAATTCTCTCTATGTCATCTGGGCTGTTCGTCATTGCCGCAAATGACCTGTCTATTGCCTTTCGAAGCATCTCTCCTCTTCACATTGCCCTCTGAGGACACGCCGAGACCATATGTTTGACATTTTGAGACGGATATCCACACCGACATTTTGGATTAATCCCTCCGGGGACTTTCCTTCGATACAGATAAGTATTGAGACCAATGTGCTCACTTCTTATCTGAACTACAATCCTGCTTTGGGCCCTACTTAGGTTTCGGTGGATGTTTGAGGGTGTGTTTCTATATGTAATCCTTTTTCTGCCTGTTGTCTCATCTGTAATAATATTTGTGGCTTTCCAATTTATTATGTGTATTTTGATTTGATTTCATTATCCTGATTTGGCGCCTTATGGGCCCATGCAGGTGGCTATAAACCTATCTATATACTTACATAGGAGGAAACCTCTCGGTCAAAATCCCCCAAGCTTTCTGATTTAATTCTTAAAGTTTGCAATTTATCCTTCAGGAAGTACAGTTACACTGTAACGTCGTCGATGTGTACCAATCACGTCCCTTCTATCGACCCTAACCTTCTACATTTTCCGTCTCGTTCCCTGAGCTGCATTTCGACTGCATTTGTCAAGCGGAATTGTTCTATCCAACCATGATTAAGAATCCATCGTGTGATTATTTTCATATCACTAGGATTGTTGTTCATTGCTTCAAAGGAGCGATTTCGGGCTTGTCTCCAGATTTCTCCTCTGCCAATTGACCACTTAGGGCAGTACATGATCATGTGCTTGGGATTTAGTGATTGGTAGCCACACGGAAAACTTCGGTGATAAATACTGTTGGAAAACCGGTATGGGTTCTATGAGTAAGGCGGCTCAAAAAATATGGGCGCGATTTTATGAATAGAATAATAATGATATGAATCGGGAGAATATGTGATAAACTGTGGAGAAATAAAAGATGGGTTGAATGAATTGAATTGATTTTTAATTATCTGTCTTAGTGATTCTTATACAGCTTATATACATGTAATCTTGAAAGACCAAATCCAGACTAGATACCATCCATCACTCGTTCCATACTCTAACAATGACAATGAAACGCACGACAGTATACAATATGAGTATGGGGTCAGGGTCGGTGGATGAAAGCCTACACGTGTATCAGACCATACCATGCACTAGTCGAGTCTCAAGCATCAAACATGCTCAGTAAGGGAGATATCAATCATCTAGGTCGTGAGTCATGTGTGAGAATCTTAGTTGTTCCAATCATGGGAAACTTTAGACCCATAGAGTCTGAATTTCCAACAAATACCTGGCATTTTTCTTCTATGCAAATACGAATTGAGCCCGATATGCTCGCTTCAAATTTGGATTGCTAAGCTACTTTGGGCCCTCGTCAGGTTTTTGTGGAGAGAAAATAGCGACTCCCGGAAGCTTATTTTTGTACGTCCAGAATGGCGGCATTTGTAAAACTTTGCTGCCGCCCAAGTTTTAGGATCTACTGAAGCAAATCTTTTAGGCTGTCGAGTTCGCTTTGTGGCTAACCAAAATCTCGCCCATTCTGGGTACGCTGAAGCTCTTATAGCTTCTTTTTGTAAGTCCTTGGATTTCTCCTCTCCGCAAATCTCTTTCCAGTATGCAAGGTCTGCTCTTCTATTATGTGCTCTAATATCTTCTCTTCTTCTTCTGGGAAGTTTTATTTTAGCACATACTGATTGAATAGTCATTCGAACTGGTAGAGAATTTGAGCGGCCTACATACTGAGCCCTTTATTGCTTCAAGTAGATTTCTATCGGAAGAGTAGCAGTCTCATGTTCCAGCAACCTGGTGCTAGTCGATTTGTATGCCCCAGTCACTACTTTCAGACAATTTCTTTGAGAGCTTCGAAGGGGTTTGACTATCTTCTCGGGTATTCTACCTCCTGGTTATTATGTGTATTATCATTACAACTATTGGTGCTTATTTACTTGTTCTTATAATTATTTACACACTTCACAGTTACGGAAAGTGTGAAACACTAAGCGAGACACGTGATACAATTACAGATTTGTCGCATGACTTTCAATAACTTAAATCTATTCCCCCAGACGCTCGCTGGATTTTAAGCTCACCAAAAGGAGCTATCTTGTTCCGAGACTGGCTTAAGTCCACTCTATTTTTTCGAAGATTTTCAAAGGTACCATTAATGGGGGAAGCTCTGTTTGCACCTACATTTGTAGGACAGCCCTGATAACCTAGACTTCAACGCTATCTAAATACGAATATCCACATGTAGTTTAAGTTCCGCTTTTAATTATATAATTTATATCAATTTAAGAAGAGTCTCACTGATCTGGCGACTATGCGGACCGGGAGCAGTGGGGTCTTTATCGGGTTTTTGTTATGGGAATGCCGGTGCGTCGGGTAGCCCTTTATAGGCTGAGCTAACCGGCATGGGGCTTTAAAGCACTGTTTTGTTTTGTTTATTTTGTCCTAAGCTAAAGCTATGTTTTCCACATTGGGGCAAGGACAGGCGGAGCCAGCAGGGTTCCCTGTAATCTTTCCTACAGCCTAACTCGTTCCAACCTCGTGAATCGCTACCAAAAGTGCAGCTGATTAAACAGAAACGAAAAATCAAGAAATTCAAAGCATCTCCGAAAAAAAAAAAAGCCAGAAGATTCCTCCATAATGGACCCAGTCAATGTGCTCCTCACACATTCTCTCGTCCGTCACACCTTCCAAATGACAAATTTACTTAATCTCCGCTGAGAGCAAGAGATGAGTTAGCAGGCGCCTTTGATCCAGCCGGTATCCTGCTAATTGTTAGTGGATGCCCCAGAAGGGGACATCGTCGAGGTTGCTGTGTCCTCAACCTTCTTCTTCAGGTCCCAGCACTCCGAAACCTGTTGCCTCAGCCATTGCGACATCCTTCGCCGCGGCGACGATCGCCTCTTCGGCCTTTTTGGCTGCAGCCCTAGATCGAGCCGCCTCCGCGAACTTCCCTTGCTCGAGGTGGCGTATCCATGCGAGCTGCTCTTTTGTCACCGGCCCGGACTTGCTGGGTCTGACTTTGCAGTCCCGAGAATCCGATCGGTGGGGTCCCCCACAG